AAAAAGGTAAAAGGAAAGGAAAAAAGGAAAAAAGGAAAAGGAAAAAATAAGCAAAGCAAAAGGAAAGCACCGGCAAAAAAGCAACCTTCCCGAACCCGCCCGGAATTACCACGCCGGCAAAAGAAAGCACAATTACTTTTTAAACATAATTACTTACCCTTAACAAAGCTATAAACACCCGGATAGCAAATACAAAAAACACCGTTACCTTAACGAAAGCAACCAAATACCGGGCTAACAAAAATACGCACAAAAACGTTAATAAAAATAACCGCTAATACCCAATTACATAAAAAAAAATAACAACAAAGGACAAATTATACCATACCGGATACAAACCGCACCCGGAAGCACAACGCGGGGCCGGAAAGCGCGGAACGCTAGCCTTACGCAATAACTACCCGGTTAACCAAGCTTTCGCTTATTAGCAACGATCGCCGGAACCACCCCAAAACAATAACGCTTTTTTAAAGCCACATTTTTTATACGTTTTCCCTAAAATTTTTCCATATGTTAGCCTTTACCTTTATTTTACCATTACACCCCCTTGGCCGGGGGCACGAAAACGCTTTTTTGCCGGAGCATTTATTAGCAATCGAGCGAATTACAATAAACGGAACCAACGGTTTAACACCAACCCGGCACCGGTTCGTAAGCGCAAGGTTTTCTTCCTTAAGCCAAACCCAAAGGTTTCCCCTACGCAACACTTAGCAATAGCACTAAGGTCTTTCTTATAAACAAAACAAAGTATAAATAAATAAATAAATACAAAAAATTATAATTATATTATAAAATAAAGCTATAAAAAACATTTACGTTTTATATATATTTTGCGCATGCATGTTACGGCCAACAACCACCCGGCCGGGACAGAGGCCAGGGAGGCGAGGGGTAAGCAAGCGCCTACCCCTCACCACAGGGAGGCTTAGGTAAGCCGCCCGTAATCTGTTGATGGGGTCACAGATCACTTAGGTGATCTGTAATCTGTCGACAGGATCACAGGTCACCACCCTGGGAGGGATGGAGACAGCGTAAGGGACGGGCTATAAGAAAGGAAGGTTTCCTACTGTCCTAGGTAGTTCTTAACTAAGGCTTCGGCATCAGTCAAACTCTAGTTAGCTTCCAAGTAACCCTTGGAGCAAGCATTCAGGCCGCACCCAAGTTACCTTGTAAATCCCCTCAGCTTGTCAAGTCACGTGCTACTGTTCGATACTCCTCTGGTGCCCTACCTTAGGAGCAAAGACCTGACTGTAACAATGCAACGCATATGCAACACATGTACAATAATTTAAAAATTTAAAAATATATTATTAAATTAAATTAAATTATTTAAAATTAAATAAAACGTTTAATATAATTGCTTACTTTTTATTTATTTATGTAATATTTTATTATATTTTATTACTTTTATTTTTATACATTTTTATTATATTTTTTAAAATTACTAATTGCATATGCGTTGCGTACGCAATTCAAAAACACCTCAGCCAAGGTGGGAGAAAAAATGGGTCGTTTAGCCTAATTGGGGAATTTTTTAAGCTTCCACCTTGTCTGAGGTGTTCGCCCACCTTGGCTGAGGTGACTACTCGCAGTTTCCAAGGCCGGAAACTTGCTCATATTACCCCCATAATACGACTCGGTAGGCTGAATGCAGAAAAGCTAGGCCTTGCTAGTTCTGGGTGGGCGTGGAGTGAAAACGCCATCGTGTTCAAACAGCCTCATCCCCCTTTGTCGGCGAGCAGTGCCGGATCAAGACGACACCCAGGAAGCCTTATAAAATCGATCCTACCGATGGATCCATTCGTGATGCCTCACGCTGCTGACTTTGCAGATACCACGTACCTGGGTAAACACTCCCCAACCCCGCACCTCAGGTCGCGCCGGCGACTTCTGCACGATGACACCCGCACGAGTGGCAGCCTGGCTCGGCCTTCTCGCCCTCCCAACCGCGGCGCAGTACCACCTGATCGGGCTCGGATACCTGCCGTACGACCCCCTCTTCGCCGAGTCCTGCCTCCGGTCCCTGTCGACCTACACCCTGGGCTGCACGCCGGAGATGGACATGGCCGGCGGGCACGCCGGGCACGCCATGTCCATGACGCCGCCCGAGTGCTTTGCGGCCGACGACGCCTTCCTCACGTCGGTGGCCTGGTGCCTGCACTCCAAGTGTGCCGACTCTGGCGTGCCGGCGTCCAAGCTGGAGTCTTTCTGGGAGCAGTTTGTCACGGGGAGCGCGGGCAGGCTGCCGGCCAAGTGGACCTACTCGGAGGCGCTGGCGGCCGTCGATCCCAGGCCGCCCTCGCGGCAGCCCGATGCGTCGGACTGCGAGCTGAACGTGACGTCCGTCGTCAACCCTGTGGTCTACCTGATGCAGTGGAACGTCCTGGGGGCCGTGGTTGACGAGTCCAAAACGGAGTCCAAGTATAGGTATGCGGGCGGTTCTCTTGGTCGGGCCATGTCTTCAAAGACACGGCGCGAGCGGACGATTTTCACACTGGCCAGCTGCTGACAGACTCATTTTGCAGCCTAGTTATAATTCTTGTCGCCGTCGCCTCTCCCGTTTTGCTTACCCGCTTCGGCTTCCCGCCTCTCGTAGCTCCTTTGATGGACAAGGTCCGTATCCCATGCCCTCCGCCAGCCAATGTCCAAAGGGCTGACATTTCCTGTTCTAGCTCTTGACAGGCCAGACCCTACCTCGTCTATCCCAGCCTCCTAGGCACGTATCAGGTCCGGCCGCTTCCATACTACCTGGGAAATGCCCCGACAGTCGGCCAGGGACTACACCTGGCAGTCTTCTTCGCCCTGAACGTTGTTTTGTCGGCAGTCGACTACTCGTCGCGTCAACCTAACATGTGGTTCGCGTCTGCGTGGCAAGAGATCAACGCTTACGTCCTCTACCGCACCGGGGCCTTCGCCTTCGTCCTGTTGTCGCCGCTGCTTCTCTTCTCTTCTCGGAACAACACTCTGCTGTGGCTGACAAACTGGTCTCACTCGACCTTTATCTTGCTACATCGCTAGATCGGCCGCTTGTTTATGCTGTACGCCGTCGTCCACTCCATCATCGGCCTGCAGATCTACGCAAACTACGCAACAACCGAGTGGTGGATATGGGGGGGCCGTGGCCACAGTGGCCACCGCACCCTGACCTTGGCGAGCGGTCTTTACGTGCGCGCCGGGCAGTACGAGCTTTTCCTAATGTCCCACATCGTGCTAGCCGTTTTCATCGTCGTCGGCTGCTAGTATCACCTTTTGGGTGGTACGTCCAGATGGGCCTCTTTCCTCCCTACACGTCGGGCTTCGAGATCTGGCTCTACCTCGCCATCGCCATCTGGGCGTTCGACCGTACCGGGCGCATCGGCCGTGTCCTGAAAAATGGCCTCCACAGAGCCCGCGTGACCGAACTCGGCGACGGCTACGTGCGCGTCGACATCCCGGGCGTCCACTGGGATCCGGCCCCAGGTGGTCACGTTTACGTCCACTTTCCAACCCTCGACTGCCTGCGGCCGTGGGAGAGCCATCCGTTTACGGTCATGCCGAGCGCCCGGCTACCTCCGCCAGGATCCCGGCGGTCCCGGCGGGGCGGGCGGCGATTGAAGAGCTGGCGGACGAGGAGAGGCAGATGATTGGCGGCGAGACCAAGTCGGCGGCGTTGGGCCATACGGCGCGGCACGAGGACAGCAACAACATGGCGCCGGCATCTGCGACAGGTCTCACGCTCTTCATAAAAAAGGGCGCCGGCATCACGAGACACCTTGCGCCACAGGACGGCCTACTAGCTCTCCTCGACGGGCCTTACTACTCCAACGGGCGCGCCTCGAATATCCTGCGGTGCGACCGCGTCCTGGTCGTCGCGGGTGGCATCGGCATCACGGGTACGCTGCCCTGGATCTACCAGCACCCCAACGTCAAGCTCGCCTGGAGCGTGGCCGAGTCGGCGCGGTGTCTGGTCGAGGCGCTTGACCTGGACGCCGCGCCCGAGAAGGAGGTCAAGATCGGGTCCAGGCTCGACGTGCGCGAGCTGGTGGCGCGCGAGGCCGAGGCCGGCTGGGCCGGGATCGGGATCGTGGTCGCAGGGCCGGGGGGCCTTTGCGACGACGTCAGGGCGGCTGTGGCCGAGGCAGGGAGGCAGGGGCGGGCAGTGTTTGAGCTGGAGGTTGATGCGTATTCGTGGCGATGCAAGTTTGTGACTGGATCCTGATTTCACTCGACTGTCTACTATGTGGCTCATAGGTGGCAGGCTGCGAATCGCCAAGTATTGCTACGAGTGCCTTGAACAGTCGGAATTCACCGTCCAAGCCAAAATTTCATGTCACAAAAAAGTGGCAAAGACCGGGCTGTCCGCTTTGGGCAGGTGCTTCAAGGAAGGAGCCGCAGATTTCCAACTCGTGACTTCGCCCGCCTCGATCAGCCTAAGTTTTCTCCACCTTGCTGATGTGAGCACATCATACAAAAGCTGCAATCCTGCTGCCTAGCGATATCTGCGGATGCTTCGTCGGCAGGCTGTCTCTAGGAAGATTGTATGTGGTGGGCGACTGTTCATAGATGGCGGCTGTTGGTCTTTTAACCTTCTCGGCTCTCATCTGAATCTAACACCACCGAGATCACACCTAAAACTAGCAGCACCGTCGCCATGGCGCCCAAAAAGTCCAAGTGGGAACAACCCAAAAAGTCCGACCGTCCCGACGCCACCGAGCTCGTCGAGATGATCCGGCAGACTTATAGTGCCAGCGATCGCACCGAAGGCGTCCGCAAATTTGCGACGCACCTCAGGCGCGGCCGCCTCTTCGCGCCGGCCTGGGCTGCCGTCGGCGGGGCGCCCGGTCTCGCCGATATCATGGCCCAGCTCAACCTCGCTGACATCCGAGTCTTGTGTAAAATGCTGGGCCGGACAGCTTCGGTGCATGGTGCCATGGAGGAGAGGCGTGCCGCCATGGATGAGCTCGCCAGCCTGCTCTACGACTCGAGCCAGCCGCGCGACAAGCGGCCACTGCAGCACTTCTACCGCTGTATCCTCCCGGCCTGTAGCGTCGAGGTCATGGTGGATATACAGAAGAGGCACCGCATCGAGTTGGCAAACTGTCAGAAGAAGCGGCTGCTTTTTGCCCATCCACGGTTCGCGGAGAGCAGCTTTCTCGAAGAGATCTTCGTTTCTGGCGATGACTCGACCCTCATACGCTATCAAGTCCTCTGGAGGGGCAACATTCCGCTTTGCGAGCGCGTGCTCACGACCCTGATCGATACCGCGGTGCCCTCGGTGCCATCAAACTTTTTGACGTATTTTGCTGTCCCGTTCCTGCGCGTGACGCTTGGGCGGCGCCGCCACTCGGACGAGGAGCGCGACAGATTTCTCGACCTCGTCATGCAGGGACTGGACAAGGACAAGAAGCACACGTCGCAGGCTCCCAGGGTTTCGATTTCGGATGGCATCGTTTCATATGTCGTGAAGCGCTGGCACGCCGCACGAGAAGGTGCCAGAACGCAAGCCTTGGAGGCGCATCTTGTCCGGTTGCTTCGCCTAATCGATCGAGACCATCCTACGACGAGCATCAACGACTTGTATCGAGCTGTCATGGCACACAAAAGGATGGGGCCCAGCAGCAGGCACAAGCTTATCCGCCTGTTTCTTCTGCATATCAAAATCTTCCGCTTCGATATCGAGGACCCTACCCAAAGCGCTCGATTCGCGCTGGCCAACAAACATGACACCTGGCCCCCCAGGCTTTTTCTCTCGATCGGCAATAAAAGTGGACTGGATCTGATGGAGAAGCTCGAGGCTCTGCACCCCAAAGACGGCTTCATTGGCCTTGAGAGGGGGAACACCGTGCTCGGGCAATCCAGTCACTTGGGTACAGCACGGGGCGATGTAGAGATTCTCAGAGCTTTACTGTGCCGGGAGCTGAAGGACGGCAAGAGCGAGACCTCAAGTCGCCGTCTCCATTCTATCGTGCAAGAGCGGAAGAAAGCCGCGGAGCAATCACGAGAAGCACCGCTTCGCGCCTTCTGGGCTCTCTCAGTGCTCAACCTGTCCGTTGCTATAGGCGACCTGACTCTCCTGCACGACAGCATCATCTGGGCGCGCCGCTTCACCAAGGACGCCACGACTATCAAGGAGATATTCGACGTGGTCGAGACACGCGAGCTCAAGGATCTACTGTGCGCCCTACCCAACCCGGATTCCGCGGATGGGGCGGCACACCTGGCGGCAGCGTTGCCTCTGACACAGGAGAGTACCATACTCCTTGCCAACCAGACCGTTCTTGCTCTGGCACAATCTGCCATCATGGTAGCATCAGAAGGCCATGTCAAGAGCAAGAGAAGCTCTGCGAAAGGGAGCTACACAGAGGTCTCTTCTCTGCCTCGCGACGTCTATAAGGCCCGTCTCCACTGGCTGAGTTCACTCCAAATAAGGTTGAAAGTAGGGGCTGTCGCAGTGGATCTCGACCAAAACATGCTGGACGCGGTTTGTAAACCGACTGCAGACTTGCTCTTGCAATTGGAGAAGCTCCGACGCTCCTCTGGGGGCGCAAAACTGGTATTTCCAGGCGTACACCAACGTAGTTTCCCCTCCCCTATGCAACTCATTTCGGACCTCGCGCGATGCAGAGGAGCAATCCTGGCCGAGCTGGTGGCCTATATCTGTAGTGCCGTGCAGGATGTGCACAGTCCTGAGGATCCCGATGACCACAGCTATACGACCACGGTTCACAGCGTCATCTCGGAAGTTACCAAAAGCGATCACCCATCGCTCGCCTGGCGCCTTTTGCGGAGCGCGATTGCAGAGGGAGGGAGTGATAACGCCTGGCACTGGGATTATTTAACTACACCTTTCATCTCGGCGCTACCTGCGGACATGGCCAAGGAGTTTTTACACTTCATGGCCGACAGCATTACGGGGCTGATGAGGAAGCAAAAGTCCCTCCCATGGGTCCAAGGCCAAAAGCCCGTAATCAAGGTCACGACGATCAAGAGGATGGCCAATGTGCTGCGGAGCAACATGTTCGTCGACGCATCCTCATCATGCGACATGCTCATCTCGCTTCTCGTCGAGGCCCGACACGTCGACGCCCGCATCGCCATCGTTGAGAGCCTGGCCCGTGTCATGGAAGATCAGACGTGCCCCGAAGAGCTGCGGGCGCGCATACTCGACTCCCTGGAGCAGCACGTTGTCCCTGCAGCGGGCGCTCTCAACCCACGCCGCGTGCTCACCGAGGCAGACTGGGCTCAGGTCGGCGTCCCCGAAGTGGGCGAGGACGCCCCTCTCCTTGACCTGCTCGTCCGTCACGCCCGCAACCCCAAGCTGCACAAGGAGGACAACGAACAGCTCATGGGGCTTGTCATGGACGTGCTGCGTTGTTCATCTACCAACAACGTCCGCTGGATGAAGGCTTTTCTGTTCAGTCGCCATGTGACCCTTGGCCCGGACGAGCGGCTCCCCATCTGCCCCGCGAATACCCAGGCCCTCCTGGGCATCTTCAAAGACCTCCTTCAACAGATTCCTCTGTCGGTGTTTCGGATGGTGCGCGAAGTAGTCCTGGCCAAATACACGGCATCGGCAACCATCAGATCTGTCACCAAGAAGGTCTCATCGGACCGGGACCTCAAGGATTCCAACGCCGGCAGGCATTGGCTTCACCATTTCGGCGAGGATCAAGATCAGGGATGGTCTGCAGTGGTCCATGCGCTCCTGCGTAGACCTGCAGATCCGGAAGTCACGCAGCCACTCGGCGAGGTTGGCGTTGGGCAACTGCAGGACTTGCTCCTCGAGTTTGCGGAGGCCCAGATCCGGGCCGGCGACAGGGATGGGTTGTATCGCCTTGTGGAGAACCTCTCTGAACAGCGCTTCAACGGCCGTGATCACTATTCCGTGTGGAAGTCCAACTGTCTGCCTCTCGTGCGCCGTATCATCGCCGCGACCGAGTCCGAGCGTGCCACACCGACGGCGGGGGCCAGCTCGGATCGAGGCCAAGTGCTGCTGTTGAACACTTTCCGTCTCAAGAGGGCTGCCATTCGCATACCATTTTCTCGACTCGATGACCCCGCACCGGACGAGGACCTCGATGCGTTCGCGGCCGACGTCGTGGAGCTGATCGAGGGAGACCTGGCTGCCCCTCGGCGCCGGGTCCCTTACCATGAGGACGTCGAGGACCTCTGCAGGACGGTCTGCGCCCCTGAAGTCGCTCAAATGTCGAGCAACTGCATCAGGTTCGCGAAAAAGCTGGCGGACGTGGGAGGCGAGACGGCCTCACTTGGGCACCCCCCGCTGTCTGCTTACCTGCGACTGGAGATGGCCGTCGATGCCCTAAGGAGCCTTTCGAGAATCAGTGGCAAGCAGCGCGAGGAGGTAGGCGATTTGGTACGATATCTCCAAGGGTGCAGGAATGAGGGGTTGGTGATCAAGGGCTACCAGCTGGAAGATTATATGAAGGAAATGCACAAGTGATGCTGAGCGGCCAGAAAGCCACCAAGGGTACGCTTGTGGTTGCAAAGTGTTAATAACGATAATGTCTTCATTCGTACCAACGAGCGCTAATATAACTAGCCTACAGGCAGCGAAATGGTGATGTCTTCATGATTTACGATTTAGACTACCTTTAGCCATCAACAGACACTTTCCCCGCTTCAAAAGTGTATACGGTTGTGCCAGACCCAAAAATACTACAAGGCAAAAGGTTCGCGGGTTCTGAAGTGGATCAGGAGTCGCATCCCGAGATGTTCTTGAGGGCGGCCGGGCAGGCGATCTGGGTGATCTCGACGTTCCTGTCGTTGAGGTCGTCGCGGGCCCAGTTGAAGCGCCAGTAGCAGCCGCTGCGCAGGTGGTCTGGCAGCAGCTCGCACTCGGCCGCGGACGAGACGCCGCCGTAGGTGCGGCCGCTGGGGAGGGAGGTGCGGTTAGCAGGAGCACACACACACACACACACACAATACACACAAAAGCACAAAGAAAGAAAAAAAACTCACGTCGTCCTCCCGTGCTGCAGCAGGCAGCCCTGCGGGTTCGGCCCGCTGCCGCCGCCGGGGGTGAGGATGATGATGTCCGTCCCGGAGCCGACCGAGTTGCTGACGGCCTGGACCTGCATGCGCTTGCCGCGGGCGCCGCCGTCGAGCCACAGCACCTCGAAGCAGCGGCAGCAGGCCCAGATCTCGCCCACGACGGCGAAGCCGATGGAGAGGTCGTTGCTGATGGGCCGCGGCTGGTACGACGAGCACGTGAACCCGTTGCCGGGCGTGCCGCTGAAGCACGACGACTGCTCGGTCCGCCCGCGGTCGAAGGACAGCTCCCGGTCCGACCGGTCGCACACGCGCACGTTGCCCTTGGCCTTGGCCTTGCTGAGGGATTCGGGCCAGGCGCAGCCGGGCTTGCAGCTGTTTTTGTCGTGTTTTGTTCGTTGGCAAGGTTGGATCTTGGTGCAGGAGAGAAGGGGTGGTCTTACCAGTCCCAGCTGGTCTTGGTCACGCCGCGCCAGGCCTCGGTAAGGGGCGCGGTGATGGCCAGGGCCAGGTAGAGGATGTTCTGCTTGAGCATTCTGAAGGTTGGTTGGAATAGATGTAGCTGCCTAGTCTTGCAACGGAGTTTGGAGGAATGATGGATGTGCACTCGGCAGGGGAAAACGACCCATCACATCTTCTGCGGGCGGCCGTCCTTGATATAGAAGCCAGAGTCACATATGCTGCTGAGCTGGCCCTAGTCTCCGTCTCGAACGCCCACCGTCCTTCGGCCGCGGCTGGAACCACAACGCCACCACCTCGACGACTCCAGGAAGATAAGCATATTACCACCTCACGCACGGCCCTGTTGGCCAATGGGACGGCACTTCCCACCCTCGGTTCTTCTGATGTCGTGATTAATCGGACGGCGCAGCCGCGGGGCGGACTCGGGGGCTGGCCCAGCTGCAGCAGCACGCAGAAACCAAGATGTTGACGGGTGGCGTGCAGCAGAGAAAAACAAAGATTCAACACGAATATCTCGTCCGTCGTCGTATCATGGCGTGTGTAGCCACGTCCCACAATCGCCCAGTCCTCCCGAAAAAGCAAGCCGTCGACGGTTTTCAGGTAGCGAGGCGCGCTCTATATAAGCTCGCTTAGCCGGCTCCCCTTAGTGGTCGACCATGGTCGAATTGGCCGGAGCCCGGTCCGGGCCCGACTGGGGTGTGGCTTTTTTTTTGCTCTTACTCCCGGCCGCGAGAGCCGAAGGAGTCGTGACGCCTCCCCGATCTGCGACAATGACGTTCAGGTCCACCTTTGACGACACTCTACAGGTAGGGTAGGCCAGCCCGTTTGTCACCAACATGGCCACGTGCCTGGAAAGTACAGCACATCGCATCACCCCCTCGTGCCTGACGGTCCCGAAGATCCGACCGGGGTGCCACACGGCTCACTATCCGGCAGAATGACTGCATAGGACCGAGACTGAGGCTTTGGGCGGCCCAGGCCGGGTAGAGCCGAGCTGACCCGACCGCCTGAGTGGTGGTCGGCCTTTTGGTAATGGATCTGGTTCGGCTATGGTCCCCCAAGAGGCATTCAGCCGGTTGCCGAAGATGGCGTGGGTGCGCTGTCAGTGTCGATGTGCCACACTTTGACCTCGTACCTGCGCAATCCTCTCTCCTCCCGTAGGCGATTTCGGCTGGCAGCCAATCGCGTTGTTGGGGGACGGCTCGTGGAATTGACGCGCGGCTGAAGATTTGGCCGTTATTGGACTTCATGAAGCCATCATCAGAGGTCGGGAGGGAATCCCGCCATCGCATCCTTCTCCAACCGCCACCAAAGCTCAGCTAATATCGGGGAAGCAAACCCCGGCCTGGCCGGCCCCTCTGCTTGGCCCTGCGTGAACCATGGGTCTGGACCGGCCGGGCGGGCGCCGGGATCAGGGATAAATGACAGCCAGCTACCGAGTGCCACAGCCGGGAGGGCGAGCAGGAGACCACCCCGCTGGGAAGCACTGGGTCGGAAGCAGGGGTACTGACAGATTAGCTTGAGAGTATACGCGTGGGATCATGGGAGGGGCCATGCGATGGTGTCTCTTTGGACCTAGGCTAGAGATTGGGGCGGCTGGGTTCGATATTGCCGCCGACAGGAGCCGTCCTAGACTGATGCGGCCATCCCGACCCGAGTTCCCGTTGCTCTGTCCACTCTAGCCTCCGATCTCGCCCATCGCGCCGCTGTGCTTGCTTGTATCACTCGCTTAGTGGTGGCCGCATGTGGGATGTCGTAAATGGCCTTGCCCAGGTTGCATGCAGCTCGACGCCGTGCTACCTAGTCAGGCCTATAGATAGTATATCACCTTGCGGCGACGATCTTTTGAACAAAGAGACACTCTCGTACACTTGCTGCGGGCTATCTAACAAGCACCCGATGAATGCCTATTAATAGTGGTATTCAGTGCACAGATAATGCGCTTACTTACAAGTGCTGTAATCCTAGCTGACAAAAATAGCAGCGTCCAGAAGATGCCCGCCGGCCTGGGCAGACACGATCCCCAGCCAATAACAGGCATTTGGACAAACCAACATTGCGCGACCCGTCCTCAGTCCACCCCCTCCAGCACCCTCACCGACATGGAAAAGTTTGCCGGGCCAACGTAGGCCTGGTGCTCGAACTCGGTGCCGACGGCCACGACGGCCAGCTCGGTCCTGCCGATGCGGTGGCCGCCCGCCTCGAGCAGCGGCGGGCGCGCCGGGGTGGACGGCGACGACAGGCTGCGCACGACGCGCAGCTCGGCGCCGCCGTCGTCGAGCTGGCGCCACTCAAAGGTCAGCCCGGGCCCGGCGCACGCCGTCGGCGGCACGCTGCACACCGACTCGTTGAGGCTCGTCACCAGGGCGCTACATTCGGCGTCGGCGCCTATCGCCGAGTCGGGCGTGACGAGGAAGAAGTATCTATTGGTTTTGGTGTGATGGGAAAGTCACAGCCAGGTCAGATGGGACTGTAGATGAGGCACAGTGAAAAAGACACTTGGCGGGGTGGCATAGAAAGAAACGCACTGCACCCGGTGACTGAGCGGCACGGCCTCGACGGAGAGATTAGCGATGGCAAATACGGAGTCCCTGCGGCTCAGAGGCGAGGAAAGCGCTGCGGCGCAGAGGAATGAAAGCAGTAATGAAACAAGTGCGAAAGTCCGAGCCATCGGGCCCAGCCTTTGCCGGAACCCTCACGACTTTTCAACAAAGAATCTTGTAACAGAGAAGCTTGTCGGTACTATTGGAATCCGAAGAGGCCGAAAAGGAGAGACGAAAATGCAGCTCTTGGCCATCTTTCTCTCCCCGCGGCGCCCCGACGCGTTCAAGTACTGCCGTCTCACCAGCCACGATTGGCCCGTCTGATCTCTTGTCCAAGGGCCGTGCGTGCCGCGGCCGCAGGTGCTCAACATTGAGGCCATCCGGACCGTCACTGTAAGTTTCATCCGTTCTGTGCCCGAAACATGCACATAGGGAACTGCCGGTTTCCTCTCGTTTTTTTTCAGCATGGAACCACTCAGGGCGCCCATCCCTTTCCACTCTTTGCGCGCATTGTGGCGGTCGAGATGTTGGTGAGCGCACAAGCAAGATGCAGGTGTGCCTAGAGAGTGAGCGAGTGGAATTTAAACCAATGAGAAATGCAGTATAACTACAAATAAGGCGTCTGGCACCACGAATCCGTTCACGCCCAGTTCATTTTCCCACCAACGACGTTTGTTTCCCAATCCATGTGTCACTTTGCTAAGGCTTTGCCGATACCGACAGTAGCCAGCAGCCCACACAGACAGGGTGAACTATACAGATATGTCGTCCGATCTGCCAAAATCCCCAGAGGGTTCTTGCGCCGTACATACTTGGTCTGCGCACTCAAAAGGCCCCGGCGGCCGGCTGGGGGCTCAAGGGCACGGAGCCGGGACCTTGGAGCTCGTGTTCGGGGCGCTGGGGGTCGACGGCGAAGCGGGAGCAGCGGGAACATCGGGAGCAGCCGGGGACGCAGGGTCCGGGGCGGGCGCAGACGAAGCAGGAGCGGCAGGCGAGGCAGGAACAGCGGGCGACGCGGGATTCGGGGCCGGCTTCGGGGCGGCGGCGGCGGGCGGGGCCTCAAACGCCTTGATGGCGTCGTCGACGGCCTTGTTGAGCTTGTCGGCGGTGCCGCCGCCCAGGCCCTGGGCGATGCCGGGCAGCTTGCTGAACATGGCCGTCGTCAGCTCGCCCGACGCCGCCTTTTGCTGCTTGAGCGCATCGGCCACGGCGGGCGAGACGCCCAGCTGGTCGAAGACGGCCTTCTTGGCCGTCAGGTCGCCGAGCGTCTTCTGCACCTGCGCCGTCAGGTCGTTGGCCGGCTGCAGCATGCCGATGGCCTCGAATAAGCCCAAGCTCTTGGCGCCCTTGATGGTGGCCGAGGCTTCGGCCAGAGACTTTTGCGTGCCCTCGACCGCGCCCAGCAGCGGCGCGGCCGAGTTGAGGTTGGACCCGTCCAAACCCTGGACGGCCGTGTCAAGCGTCTTGAGGTTGCCCATGACCTTGCTGATGGCGCCCTTGAGCACGCTGGCCTGTCGCCGCTCCAGCGGCGACGGGGCCGCGGTGACAGCCTGGAACCAGAGGAGGACAGCGGGGAGGGCGCGTGAGATGTGCATTGTGGGCGGGCCCGGGTGGCTTGCAGAATAGAAGAGTAGATGTGACGATTTTGTCCTTTGTCGCTTTACGTTTCGGGAGGCTTGAAGTGCAGGCTTTCTGATGTTCAACCAGGCGAGGTTGTACTACAATAACAGGTTGAATCACACGGCAAGGCAGGACATCTCGGGAGCTTAAATATCAAATTCAAGCAGCCCTTTCCGGGATCGCGACCCGAGTCCGAGCAGACTAAATCCAGAGCCACCAAGGGCTGTAACCGCATTATCTCGTTGGACTGGACGAAACATGTCGCGAACGAAAGGAAGCCTGGTAGCTGGCGGCAACAAGGGTCGCCGCTCGAATCCCCAGCCTCAGAAAACCAGGGAAACTTGGGCCGAAGATGACCGGGTGCACCCACCCTTCCCGACAGAGCTCGGTATCGCACCTCTGAGACGACGCCAGCGGTGCCAATTGAGTTCTGCAACATGCGTCAGGCATGCCACCTCGCCCGTCAGAGCCGTTTGCGCCCTGCCTGGCGATGTGGTTTCCCAAAAGGACGCATGCACGAGAAGAAACTGGCGGGGCTTTGACCACGATGCCCCCGCCATGGGTCTGGGCGATCTAGACTGTAAGCAGAAGCATGGTCAAGGTTTTGACAGCTATCAGACCAAACCATGGCCCACACTACAGTCCTGATTCCGCACGGGCTGTTGATGCACCAACGCTGCATGCGATAGCGAGCACGCTTGCTGAACCTCACAGTGCTTCACCACCTTTTGTCATGCCATCACCAGCGAGGCCCTACCGCGTTGCGAACCTGCTGCTTCCCGGTGCACATCTCCTAAATCTCCTTCACAGCGCATCTGATGAACATGTTCTTGATAGCCATCGTCGCTTCTTCTCCCCCGTCCTGCCAACACCATGTACCTAATAAGATAACCCGGATTTGACTTGACGCGACAGGAAGCCTCAACTAGTAAAGTTTCAATCAAGTCTCCCGTTGGCGGCCGAGTGTCTCTTTGTGCTGCCAAATTCCGCTTCGCCCAAAGGCCCTTCCGTACACGCCCTCCCCCTTTGATCCAACAATTTTATACGCCCCCATTCGCACCCCCTGGCTCACCACCTAGATATGGGTGTGTCTCGCCCATTCTTCCCCGCTCAGACTAACCGGGCAGACCTTTGTCGTCCTCTGGACTTTCGCCGGCCTCTTTGCCATCCTCGTCACGGTCCTTGCCGTCGCCGAGAACGGACACACACAACGCAGCCTGCGTCTTTGGTGACTTTGAGTCGACCTCGGCTGGCTGGCCGGGTGGTCATTTTGCATCGGCCTGCTGCACGCCGGCTACGCGTCCTCCACCGGCATGACCATTAGCATGGCCGAGGAGGACAAGTACCCGTCGGCCCAGGTGTCCAAGGCCATGGTTATGGCCATCGTTATTAACACTATCGGCGGCCTGTTGTTCCTGGCCCCCCTTATGTTTGTGCTGCTCGTCCAGCCGACGCTTACCGTTTTCAAGAGCGCCGCCGGGTCGCCGGGCGCCGCCATCGCCCTGCCGCTGCCGCTTATGGTGCTGGCTATTTTTGTGTGGCGTCGCCTGCACCACAGCAGCGTCGCGCTGCACCTGGGCCTTTGCCCGCAACGGTGCCATCCCGGGCGCCCAGTGGTGGAGCAAGGTCCACGCTACGCTCGACCTGCCTCTCAATGCTATGATACTTTCCATGGTTATCCGGATCACCCTGGTACAGATCCGGCTTTAAGTCCGGAGTTCAAAAACGGGTTGGCGACGTAATCATATGAAGACCTAACACTTTGTTGCATTCAATTCAAAGCTAGAAATTTTGTACCTTCCACTAACACTTCTTATTCAAGCGCAAATAAGTAATACTACAAATAACAGTTTTAGCAATATTTTTATAAAAAGGAAAGCATTTAAAAAAGCGGTCGGGAATAACATACTGGGTAATTTGAGACTTCGTCCTTTAGCGGCATGAATGTGACCTCCGAGCTCTCGTAAAGGCTGTAAAATCCGCAACGGCCCTCTGGAGGAACTTTCGGGATCTCGTCGTCCCCCATTCTCAGTATGAACTCTCCTCGCTGAATCCGATATGCGTCCCTCTCTGGTATAAGCTTAACCAAACAATCATCGCGGAACTCGCTGGACAATTCCACTCTGCTCAACTCAGGTCGCCATCTCACCCATAGCGGAGCTTCATCACCAGTCGCGGCCGTGGAATTTGGTGCCCGTTGAGCTCGGTCACTCTCTTCATCACTATCTCGGTCTTCGTCGCTGTCTCCCGGCTTCCCTGATGGCTTGTGGAATCGGAATACGTAGTCCAGCTTTGTATCATCCGTCACACCCGAAGGTGTCATGGCAGGAATGATGTCAAAGACGGTATACAGGTCCTCGGGCCCGAGCCGGACTCGGCCGGGTGTGTATTCATCGAAAAGTCGCAAATAAAGACCTGAGGTAGGCGACCCTAGTTGTGATACTCTCAAAGACTTCGAGAAATAACCGATCCCTGCCCACTCGCATACATCGCGTAGCACATCGGCGTTGATCCGCGTGCCCTGACTCAAATCGTTCGGGCTCTCTAGTGAATCGGCACCACAGTTCCTACAAGGCATAGGATATTAGCTAGGAATCAGCGCAGGTTCGCATGTCAACATACTGTATGGCTATAGCCGTCTCACAGCCGCCATAAGCAACCCAAACAGGACCATCGCTGTTGCCGCAGATGGTGTCTACTTTGTATCTTAAATACCGGGCGAGAAGATGCTTAATGATACCCGAGTTCGTGCTCGGGCTGCCAGTGGCAGTGCCGGCGTGATGGCCAGTAACAAAGATCTCGGGCGTGATGGATCTTGCTGAACCCAGGGCTGTCGAAAACCCAAAGCCTCCTTGGGATGCGTCTTTGTTAAGTAGAATAGCGCCGTAATCGTTGACTCGGTTGGCAAGCCTAGGCTGGGCCTTGTAATTGCTACAAACTTTAACCTCAGTCGAATGGTTCACCGGCCTGTTCGGGCCGGTGTCTCGGAGGATTGTCAAGTCCTCAACCGGTTGGCCGCTTTCGCTGATGAGGTTATGGCCCGCCGTTAAGATGACGCTGTACGGGGATACGGGCAAATTTAAGAAGAAACCCGTTCCCCAAGATACGTTTCCTTCCCCTAAAGATTTGGTTAGTATAACTCGCTATTGTCCAAGAGTATGTTTGTTCAACCGCCTTTCGAAACTTACCGTGCTTTCGGAACCGTAGTTTGACTACCCACTTGCGGCAATTCTCAGGATCTACTTCTTTCAGCCCAATCATCTGTTCCTCCGCGACAGGGACATCTCTCCAGCTCCGATGCCAATCGGCAGTGCTAACGTCGCTCATTGTCCCTGGAAATGTATCATTAACTGCCGTGCTTTAATTATGCGTGCTTCTTTGGCAAAGGTCAGGGCTTACCGGGTCATAACTGCAGTGCTGCGTCCGCAAAGGGAGTTTGAAAGGGGTAGACGCCCGGGAGAGACCTCTACCCCGCGTGGAACCGTAAAGGAGACGAATTGGAACCCCCAAAATCGGGTCCGTAGGTAAATCCCCGTGTTGGTGTCCGAGTTTTTATTTTTGATGGTGAGCCGCGCTTCACCCTGGCCCGCGGCAGTGAAAGAAATGAGAAGAAGGAGGAAAGGTAGGAGCGTCGAGGGGCTGAAGGCATGACGGCATTTGTCGTGAAAATCTAACCCCGCAATCCAGCAGCTACTACGCGGGGCAACCGGAATGGGGGATCCGTGGGTGCCACGACCAGGCGAGGCGCGACCAACCGGTCAGGAAACGGAAGCCTCGACGGCAACATGTGGGTTCATGTTTTTAACCACCACCCAGATGTAGCACAGCGACACACCCTTTACATTGGATTTATGGTGTATTGTGTTGCGTGCGTCCAAGTACCGAGAAATAGCCGCGATTTCAATGTTGCAAAGCTTTTTCTTGTCTGCACGGACCCCTTACAGTTTTATAGGCCTACAATAAAAGAAGTACCAAGAGCCCGATATGACGGACGAAGGGTGCAAGATAGGGTTTATTGTATGCTTCTCTAGATCTCTGAAGAGAAGGGAAGACGGGCATAAGGCCGAGGGCCTTGTGCCCTCCTTATATACAGTGATCCCCTCTCTTGCAGGTGCGGTACCCACTACCGCACCCCTGTCATTGCCGACGGGTGCTTGGTAAGCATTTGCCCGGTGCGCACCGGTGTCCGTGCAGATCTTCCGTGCCAAGGCCTGGAGCAGTGTGCCCTTGGTGATAACCTCCTTTGTGACACCCGACCCACCAAGTACCGCTAAAGTCGTTTTACACCCAAGGAACACAAAGTACACGCCGAGGTACAAAGCCTTTCTTTATTATAAAAACGACCCCTAGCTTAAACCCAAAAATGAAGAAGAAAAATGCAAAGGAAAAAACATAGGGAAAAAAGAAAAGAAGAGAAGAAAGGGGAGGAACGACAAAAAGAAAAAAAGAAAGGAAAATAAAAAAAAGAAAGGAAAAAATAAAAAATAAAAATCAGCCCACAAGCGGCGTTTGAAGGATATTAAAAAGCTTGGTCAAGATGCATAGGTTAGTACATAGCCATTTGAAAAAAAAACCCTGGTGGTTAGGCGGGGGAGACCAAACTCTTACCCGAATCTCGAGGTCGTCATCGTTCTTGTTAAACTCCACAAAGCTGCCATCAATCTGCTCTTTTCCCAGCCCAGCCCAGTTAGTGCAAAAGACCGATAAAGGGAAAGCACAAGAGTCAACTCACCTTTGCAGACGTAAACCGAGTCCCCCAGCTCCTGGCTATTCCTCAGCGTGAGCAGAAACGCCTCCGAATCGCTGTCGTCTCCAATTTGGCAGACAACAAACGTCACAACTATCCCGGAGTCAGTAACGAATTCAAGGCTGGGCCACCAGCCCCAAACGGTTCTGAAGGCTGGATAACTTGTACTTACCTTTATCGCCGTACCCCTCCGTCTCCAGCTTACCCGCGCATTCTTTCAGCGCCTCTGCAAACTTCCCTTCCGACTCTGTTGGTGCTCCGTCGGTGATTATGCAGATCAGATATGGCCGATCCAGCCCCCCGTTACCAAGCTGATTATAAACGAACGGCTGCAGCACCTTCTGCAGCAGGTTCGTACCGATCTCTGTGCCGCCACACGTACCGAGGGGTGCCATATGTTGGTCCACCTGGTCGGCACTGAGCCGGTCCCAGGCAACGTCACGATTGATGAAGCGCACATGGATGCCGCCGTCATCTGGTACGAGCAGGCCACATACCCGGGCGATACGCCGGGCGACTTCCCGCTGCACATCCAGGCGCTTGATGTTGCTGTTGGCGGTAATTGCACAGTCCATGGAGCCGCTGTCGTCTTCAGCAGTGTCAAGTGTTAGTCTCGTCTGGGGGCCTGAGAATGGGTGGACAAGGAATGAAGGCGCAGAGGAGAGCAGCAGGAAATCTCACCGGCGTATATGATCGTCTGATACAGAGATAGCTTGGTGAGCCCCTTCAGGTTCTCTGGTGTATTGAGAGCGCTGGGGCTGTCCTTGAATCGTGCCAAGCCCTCGGCAAGCTTCTGAAGGAACTCGCTGTCTCGAGGAAAGAAGCGCTCCAAACCAGAGTCCTGCACGTATTCGTTCACACTCTTCTTGAAGTCTTGGGCCGTGGCACAGTCTTGTAGGTTCTGAGAGGGGAGGACAGAGAGTTAGCACGAAGACTTCGAATAGTTCTGTCAAAGAGAGGTAGTGTGCACGTCGAATGGTTCACTCACCCGGGGTGCGGACGTGTCCTTTGCGCCGCTGATTCTAAACACTTTCTTCAACCGCCCGACGACGCCGACCGCTGCAACTGTCGCGACGTTCACCCATGCGATCATGTGGCCGATGAGCCTATTAATCTTGGTGATGACGGGAACCCGGACCTTCTTCCGCTCCTCGGCAGGAAGCAGAGCAACCACCAACGACTTGTCCTTCTTCTCGGCGAGCTGCTTGGCCGTCTTGCCGTAGCGGTTTTGTTTGTCCACCTCTGCGCCGGCATCCACGAGCATGCTGGCAACATCAGTGTCTCCGAACTGGACCAGCGCTTCCATCAGCGGGGTATTGCCGGAGCCGATACTGGGCGTCACATTGAGATCGGGCTTGACCTTTGCGGCAAGGAGCAGGGAGACGATCTTTTTGCGGTTGCGGCTGGGGGCCCTTGAAGTCGCTAGCCAGAGCGCGGTCTCGCCATTGGCGCCTCGCCGGTTGGTGTCGGCATTCTTGGAGAGTAGGAGCTTGACGACGTCTTTTCGGCCCTCCAACACGGCGATCATAAGGGGCGTGTACTTCGTTTTGGGATTGGCTCCATTGATGTCCTCGCCGGCAGCCATGTGTCGTTCCAGAGTGGCTAGCTTCAGTTTGCCGCTCTGGGCATTTTTGTAAATGGACGTGGAGCTCATGGTTGGGACAACTCTGGTGTCTTCCCTCACTCTGTGTAGTAGCAACCGAGGACGGGTGGATGAAAAAGAGATTCAGAAATGGGTTTCCGTCCTTGTCGCCGGACTCGAGGGATTGGTTACCGCGAGGGGGGGCTTCGTCGTACTAAGCATCAGATTTATGCTTGGGCGACCGACGTAGGGATACGTTGGGCTAATTATTTTGCAGGGACAGGGAGAACCCCCAAGGGGCACTTCTTCTCCCCACCATGTTGCGGCTGCTGGCGCCCAATCCGTCACGAGCACACTGCCTGATACGAAGAACCCGCTATTGTCAGATGACTCACGGAAAAAGCCTGGGCTTCTGCATTAGCTTAGCACGCTCTAAGTCCTGTTCCAACCAGAGCAGCCTTTTAAGCCTCAGCTGTATCGTCCTGCATCGGGGCGGCTTTCGCCGACGAATGAGCTGCTTGTGCGATGGGGCTTGTTTTGCACTTGGGGGAGCGTGCTCGCGTTGGCGACTTTGGGCATCAAAAAAACAGCCCCGTGCCATCGGCCTGGGCGCACCGCTAATGAAGCTTGCGCCGCATTCCGCGCCCGATAGGTTGGAGGGTGGGTACTCAGGCGAGGCTGGAAGATGCAGGGTCCGTAGAAAGGCTCGGGAATCGACTGAGTTTCAAAAACAAAGACATAGACTTCGACGGACAGATTAGAGCAAGATTACTTTAAGGGCCTTAGGCTCTTCCTTCCTTCGGGTAAGCGTTTCTCTTTTACCGATTCATAATACATGGCCTTTAAAATATCCAGGACCTATTGCTAATATGGGTTGGAACACAAGTGGGTGTATAGGGTGGGGCGCAGCAAACAGCTGTTAAACGGTAAGGAACGCTTGGCGGGGAGCAGAGGCGTCCGTGTTGGGGGCGAAAACCTCCGTTTCCGGGCGCTCCGGATCCCATTTCTCCAAGTACCAAAACATATGAGGGCTGGTTTGGTACTTTCGGTGGGTTTGGAAGCAGTTGGGAAAAGTGGTGATGCTGTCCACATGCGTGATCCTGCATGTAGGTGATGGAATCACCTTTGTCATATCTTGACATCCAAGGGGATTAATTGCTGGCGAAAACACCAATTCAGATTGTTTACATTAATCGTCGAGCTACTCACGAATTACCGGGGTAGTCACAACTGTAAGCAGGAGCTTTTTTTTCTTTGGCACTACAGTCTAGAGGTGAACATAAGAAGAACACATAAGAACATAAGACCAGCGTCCGGTTAAACAACCCTGAATACCTCCTCGCGAGCTTTTCCCCTATCAAGCATGTCCACAGCCTCCCCATTCATAAGCCCGTGGATATAGCACTCTCCAACCAGCAAGTAGTGCTGAGAGCCTAGAAGGGGGCGGAGACAAAACGGCATTTTCCCGCCGAAGAGCACGCAGACAACGTCGCCCTTCTCCATGACCCCCGGCCCCATCACATAGTACCCCTTGGTCGTCCGGGCAAACTTTCGCTCGCTCGACGCGCCGGTCGCCGCACGGCCCCATTTTTGTGCGTCTCCCTGATCGGCCAGCGAGCGGAGCTCGGGAGAGATGGCCGCCCTGTCCACCACGGTGGTGAGGTAGGCGGCGGCGTGCGCGAGCCATTTCCCCTGTGGGACGGCGCCGTAATCCTCGAGGGCGTGGTCCTGCCAATAAATGGCCATGCAGCCATTGCTTAGCGTCTGAGTATAGGCGAAAAAGCTGCTGGTCCCCATTCCCCCGCCGGCATACTCGTCGCTGGCATCAAAGCCGTTTGTCTTCCCGCAGATGTCCGTCCATAGGACCTCGACTGCGGCCCGCGCCCTGTCCCCTTCGGCGGCTTTCCGGCCGTGAAACGCTCCCTTTTGCAGCAGGCCGGAGCAGGCCTCGATCCGGTCCATCTCTATCCCGCGAATCTCGAGCACCTTTGAATCGTGGATGTTCAGACTGGGCTTCGTCGGGCCGCAGGCGCGGTGAGGGCTGGTGGGCTCCGACATGATATGTCCGTGGTGGGTTCTCCAGTCCGGCGCCCACGACGGCAGCGCATGCCCCCCTTGCCCCTGCGGAGTTTCAGCCGCGGAAGAGAGTTTCGTATGCTGCACGGCCCCAAGGGTGATGAGAGACTCGCCGTCCCCGGTCAGGGCTCTCACGGCAACTTCGGTGTAAACTTTCTCGACCGAGCTCAAGTAGTCCGCCTCCAGCGCCTTCAGCTCGCTGTTGCGTCCCGCGCAGAGGGAGTAGTGGCCCAGTATGGCGAACACGCGGTCTCGCTGGTCGCTGACCTTTAGGTGCCTTGCACGGTGGAGCTCGTAGATAAAGCTGAAGCGGTTGTCGTGCCGGCTAGTTTTCTCGGGCTCGACGAAACGGCGGTAAAGGTACTTGATCTCCGACGTCCCCACCTTGAACTTGAGCCTCAGGTGATGGTGTTCTGCGAGCTCCTCGCACACGTAGTGCAGCTCTTCCCAGGCCATTTCTGCTTTCCCCCAAAGCAGGGTTGCAGGCGCCTTGGTGCCGATCTCCTGGACGACCCAGCCGCGTTGGAACTGTGGATGATAACATTTTCTAGTCAGTACCGGTATTCCCATTTCGAGTGACGAAGAGTCTCGCGCTTATTTAAACTAACCCATGGGAGACTCGTTATGTTTTTCAGGGGTTTCCAGGCCGATTGTTCGGCCAGATCGTCGGTGCTGGCAGTCCTGAAAATAGGATGCTTCTTATCGGCGAGGAGCCCGGCCAGCTTTCGCACAAAGCCGAAAGCCTCTTCCGCCTGATGCTGGTCGTCGAGGCCGAGCCAGACCTGTATGCTGCTCCCGGTGCGGTAAATCCGGTTCATAAACTGCACCTGTTGCGACCTCTCTAGCTTATCGCTTTGGTTGATGCAGATCTGGTCGGCCCACACGCGCCGCAGCCCCGTTTGCAATCGGAGCCGCCGCAGGGCGTGGTATAAGCTCGACGTGATGCGGAGCTCTGCGTCGGGCAGGCGTATCTCGTGCGTGAGCGTGTTATCTCCCCAAACGTACGAGAGAGGCTCGTAAGCCCCGGCTTCGTCGACGGCAACGAGCTCGAGCACCCCCGTAAGCGGGTCGTCGGGATTTCCGCCCCATAGCGTCAAGATTCGGATGGTCCCATCGGGCAGGGGCTGATAAGTGTAAGCGTCTGGTTGATGATCTTGAGAGATCCGCTTTCTCTCGTAGGGGCAAGAGACTAAGTGGCCCATCTCGACATGGAAGAAAGATTGTGGAGGTGGGTTCTTCCGGGGCGGGGGTTAACGAGCACTTCATTCGGAAGCACACAACAGATAAAACAATGCGCCGTTGTCAATGTAGTTATTTACCTGTCATCAACGACCACCATCCGGGGTAGTCCCAAACGGACGACCGCCGCGGCAGGCCATTTTCCGGCCACCGATTCTCCTTTGATTTGTTGGTTTGGCGCAGTTGGTGGCCGTGTGTGATATATGCAGCCGTCGCGCATCTTACCAATGGGGTTTGACCATGTGGTCCGGTATTTGTCCTTGGTGGCTGCCTTGCGTCTGGTGCTGGCTGCAATCGGAAGACAGTAGCGGCAATTCGGGCTCACGGGGTTGGGCGTCTGCGTTCCATCAGGCAGCGAGGAGATTCTCGCCCTGTTTCTTTGGCTCGTTCGGCATTTGGTCGGCGCGCATGACCTGGTTGGGTGACGGCGGCGGCGGCGAGCTAGGCATCGTGCGGTTCGGGCTCGCCAACGTGGGCACTGACGATTTTAATTGTTCAGTCCCGTCGATTTTCCGGATGCACGCACAGCCCATGCGAGAAAAGTATCACTAGGAGTGTCGTCGAAGCGTCTACTTTGCCTATCAGTGTTTTGCTTGTTCCGCGACACTAATTTACATTTGTAGCTATCTTTTTTTGAAGCACAGTCCAATCACGACCAGCCATCGATACGACGTAGTAGGATACCCTATCTTAGGTACTATATGGAATGCTACATAGGTGCTAACTGAGTAGCTCTCACCATGGCGCTTGATAGCTCGCAAGAGCCTCCGAAGGACGACAAGCTAGGAGAGCTTCTGAAAGAGCCTCCGGAGGACGACGATCAGGAAGAGCTTCTGAAAGAGCCTCCGAAGGACGACAAGCTAGGAGAGCTTCTAAAAGAGCTTAAAGAAGTTTACGACAGGGAGGTCCGTGAGTACCAGCGATGTTTGAAAATAGTTGCCCAAGACCTGGGACACGTGCTGGCCCAGGAGGCCATCCGGCACCTCCCCATCGCCGCGCGGGTGAAGTCCTGGGACTCTATCAGCGGCACCGCGCAGCGCCGGCAGAAAGATAGGCTGGCCGCCCTTGAGATCCGGAACAAGATGCGGGAGCAGAAAGAGAAGTGGAGGCGGCACTTTAGGCTCTACAGGATGAGCGAGGAAGATGTCGGACACTTTGGAAGCCGGGAGGAGCTCGCGCGCGCTTTTCACGACATGCTTGGCGCGCGGATCGTACTTTACTTCCCCAGCGACAAAAAAAAGACGGTGGAACTCCTGGAGGGCGCAGGCTACGTGAACGCCAAGGACGCGAAGAAAATGGGCGGCCTGGCGGATCCCAAGCGGCTGCGGAAGCTCCATGAACGTTGGTCCGATAAGTTGGCGGCCGGTGCCCGCCCCGCCGACGATCTCGACCTGGACGACTCCGAGAAGCAGTTTTCGGGGTACGGCGCCTTACACCTAACCGTGAAGGTGCCCGAACGGCTGCGGCCGCGGGACCTGGCACCGCAAGCGGAAGCTATCTGGGCGGAGCGCGTGGTAGAGATCCAGGCCGGCACCGTTATCATGCACGCCTGGGCCGAAATCGAGCACGATATCACCTACAAGACGCACGGGCGCCAGGTGTCTCAGGACGAGAAGGGCATGCTGGATATGCTTAACGGGCTCGCCCTTGCCAGCGAGGTGGGCATGCGGCGCTTCCAGTCGCCGCCTGTGTCGGAGTCGCCAGCCACCGAGTCAGAGGAGGAGGTGCGCGGCTGGCTGCACCAGCTTTACATCAAGAACAGGTGCAGTACGCCGAACGAGTGGGTTGACGTGGATCTCCTCCGGGACTTCCTGGTTAAGAACAACCAAAACCGGCGAAACGAATTCTTGCCTCTCGCGGAGAGAGCCTGGTCAATGCTGGGGGGGCATGAAGGCAGGATAGGCCTCCAGTTAGACCACTTCCTCCCCCACGTCATCATGGACGGCGGACAAGTGTCTGACGCCACGATTAAGAAGGCCTGCCGCCGCGTCGGCCTGTTGCAGGCTGCGTACGACGGGCAGGAGGCAGTCGTTAGGCTGTTGCTGGAGAAGGAAGTCAACAAAGACTCGAAGGGGGTTGATGAGGAGTCGAAAGGGGTTGATGAACAGTCGAAAGGAGTTGATAAAGAGTCGAAAGAAGTTGATAAAGAGTCGAAGGACTGCGACGGCGACACGCCGCTATCGCTGGCCGCGATCAGGGGGCACGAGGCGGTTGTCAGGCTGCTGCTCGAAAATGGTGCAGACAGGGAAGCGAGAAACAGGAACGGCAGCACGCCGCTGCTGTGGGCCGCCGCAAGGGGACACGAAGCGGTCGTCAAGCTCCTGCTCAGAAATGGCGCCAACTGGGAGGCAAAGGACAACTGCGGTAGCACAGCGCTGTCGTGGGCGGTGAGGCAGGGCCACGAGGCGGTCGAGCTGCTGCTGCGCGACAAGGCCGCTGCTGAGCACACGCCGACAGATGACGATCTCAACCCGACGCCGCCGTCGTCGGCCGCCAAAGACGAGCCGGATTCCGGCGCGGGGCTACTGCCCGACAAGGGCACGCGAATCAAACCAGCCGGCGCGGATAGCATGCGGCCGCCATCGCCAGCCGCCGCTGTGGGCGGCTCCCTTATCGGAAGCTCGGGACCGTCACGGCTATCCGCTGAAAAGCGCCAGGCTGTCGTGCGTCTAGTGCTCGAAAAAGGCGCAGACACAGAGTCGGCAGGCAGGTCCGAAAAGACGCCGCTGCTACTCGCCGCCGAGGAGGGGGATGAGGCCGCCGTTGAGCGGCTGCTTAATGAAGGCGACATCGACGTCGATTCGAAAAACCAATACGGCTCTACCCCGCTGTCGCGGGCTGCAGGAAACGGGCACGAAGGCGTCGTTAAACTGCTGCTTGATGCAGGTAACGCCGATGTCGAATCGAAAAACCGGCACGGGTTTACGCCGTTGGCACGGGCTGCTTATAACGGGCACGAAGCCGTTGTTAAGCTGCTGCTCGATACAGGCAAGGTCGACGTCGATTCGAAAAACCAGGAAGGGGGGACGCCGCTATCGTGGGCTGCAGAACAGGGGCACGAAGCTGTCGTTAAACTGCTGCTTGAAACAGGCAAGGCCGACGTCAACCCGAAAAACAAATACGGGTTTACGCCGCTATCGCGGGCTTCAGCAGACGGGCACGATGCCGTTGTTCAACTGCTGATCAATGAAGACAAAATCGACGTCGATTTGAAGGGCCCAGACGGGGGGACGCCGCTATCGTGGGCTGCGGAGATGGGGCACGAAACCATCGTCGAACTGCTGCTCAATACAGGCAAGGTCGACGTCGATTCAAAAAACCGATACGGGTTTACGCCGTTATCGAGGGCTGCAGGAAACGGGCACGAGACCGTCGTGAAGCGGCTGCTTGGTACAGGTAAGGTCGACGTCGATTCCAAAAGCCAACACGGGGAGACGCCGTTATCGCGGGCTACGGAAAAGGGGCACGAGGCCGTTATCAAGATGCTGTGCGATAAAAAGGCGAAAAATTAGGCGTGCAGCCGAGGCCGAGCGGACAGCGGCCACGGGAGCGGAGGACACATTCGGGATCAATGGGTACCGTGGAAATGCCGTTTGGGTGTCAGGTCTACTTGGAACTTCCTATCCCGACTCTTGCGAATTGGGTTCTGGCGTGCAATCGTTGGTTGGATGTTCGAAGGCGGGACCGGGGGACAGGCCATCGCGAGGCAACCACCGCTGCTTGTTTGAGAATTGGACGAGATTGAAGGTAGGTCGCAAGGGCAGAAAGCCTTGGTTTTTTCCGTCGTTCTTTTTTTTTAGTTCTTGTCTGGAAAGCGCGCGATCTTTCGGACGCGGGGACGGGCAACGGCTGTATTACGCCTGTTTGTGAGAGCCTGTAAGGGTATCACGTAGTAGTAAGTAAAGTCTCGATAGAGTCGGGGAGAGGGTCGCCACCGGAGGCGGGGTCCGTCGCGCACAGAGATATGCATGCCTTTATGCGTGCGGGAAATGAAATGAAATCGAATTAACGTCAATGTCTCAGGTGCCGTTACGTATTTACGCACGTGCCAGTCCCGACGAGCAGCCGCCATGGTAGCTTAGACGCGCCCACGACGGCGGCTGGGCGATGGCCGCGTTGCGCCGGCTCGAGAAGGCTAGGTACAGGGAAAGTTATAAACACGGGGCAACTGTAAAACCCTATTTTTACGATTGGGAGTTCCTTTTCGGCGTTTAAATCCTCCGGGTTTTTCTCTAGCTTTAATTCTGTTTTTATTAATGTGCATTACTTGTTCGAATCTAGATTATAGCGTTTTGTCCCTTTTCTACCGTTTGGCTTCCTTTGTATTGTTTAATGCTAGGTGTGGTTCTTTCTTCTGGGGGGCGGCATTTTTCTTAGCATGCAGTTGTCGGTATCAACGTACAACCCCCGAGTAGCTTATTTTTTTTATTTCCCCGCAAATGCAGTGCCAGCTCGGCGCTGGCGGGTTGCTTAAACCTTAGGTGGTAGGATTCGAAATTCCTGTGTCCCGATCCTTTTGCGAATAGGGTGTGCAGCGGCCTTTTGCCTTCCATTGGGCGGGGTTGTGCGTGATTTTCTTGCACTTGCCCATCCCGTGTAATCCCTTCTCGCCGGCCTGTTGGCTTCCCACCACACTACCGCGTGGGCCTGGGTCGCCTTTGGGGCGTGAGGCTTTGGCTGGTCTGCTTTCCAGTCCGAACAGGCTTGCTACCGCTGATGCGCCTGGTCCAACCGGGTCCATGACGTCATTGATAACCAGCTGGTTACCAATGACGTCATGCTGACTAAACCGGACTTGTGAGTTTGAACATCGCCGACGTCGAACCACGGCAAAAATAGCTCAAGCACACTTCGAGTGGAGCGAGCTCTAATTTGCTTAAGGTAGCATTGTTGGTTATGCGGCAGCCATTGGATCAGTCCAGACGGAAGTCTTTAGTGTCAGAGGGTTCTCCCAACTCACAATCTGAGCTCCCACTTCTGGCGGGCAAGGTCACGGGGGCTTGGGATCTTAGAAGTGAAGTCCGTAAATTGCTTGCTCGAGGGAATACCCGGAAGCTAACTTAGGTCAACCAATGCTGAAGCTTCAGTGAAAGCTGTTTAGAACTGAAAGGGCCCAGCCCTTTATATACAAGTCCACCGTTCCTGGTGGTTTCCTTGATCTGTTGATTTGTCACAGATGAACAAATCACAGCAACCTTACTTAAGCTGTTACGTGACCTTAGGGGGCTTCTGGTTGTCTTTCCGAGTACGCCCTTGAAAACAAGCAAGGTATGGTTGTCACTAGCACGGGAGGCATGGATGGTGACACCAGCGGCGTTTCAAGCCGTGAGCGAGGATTAATAATCTCCTAAAGTCAAGCGGGCTACTGGGCAAAGCGGTGGAGGCATTTTTTTTAATTCGAAGATAGCGATAACTATAAATTTCGTGACTACATTTTATTTCCCTGTGCAAACCTGACACTTACAAACTTCTGTAAAATCCCCAGCTATTTCCATACCACCCATTATATCCTGAGTCGCGAGTAGCACCATCCTGTACTTCCCGGATATAGCCATCCACTTTACTTTCGAATTTCCACCTTTGTGGCTAGTGAATTGGAAAATGTTGCTCGGTCCGGTCCTTTCGAGATGGCCCGTTTTCTGTCCGTTAGGTGTCACTATATCCATGAGTTGGTCCACTTCACGCGTTGTCTCTAGAGGCAAAATACGTCCCGTGATCTCGCCGATCAAATTACCTTGCTGGTAAGCCACCTTTTCTTCCGCTCCGATTGCTTCGAGAGCAAGTCCTTTAGATCCACGGTCGACGATACGGGGCTGTTGGGGGAAGCGCGTTTGGACACAGTCGCAGTTGTCCTTCTCGCACAATTCGCATTGCCGGCCTGCGACCACAAGATCCGCGCGCGTCTCACAGGTCCGATCGAGGTTGTTTTCCCGGAGATGCCGCATTGTGAGGAGGGATAGGAGGTTGTCTATGGACAGCTCTTGAAGATCTTGGAGGCTGATCGTTTGCCAGATGAATGTCGCCTGTTGCAGAATAGAGTCGATGAATGCCTCACACAGAGGTTTGAGCGAGTTGTCCTGGATAAGTTCCTTGATCTTATCCAGATTTTCGTTGGAACATCGCTCATAATCGACAAAAGTTGCTTGAGTTTCCTTCCCGAAATCATCGAAGGGCAAAAGCGGTATCCGATGTAGTCCAAGGCGACAGAATTTGCGCCGTCTTGTTATCCACATTTGAGATTTTTCCCCTTTGATTTGGTCGAGGTCTTCCTTCGACAGATTGACCCTGCCATCTTCTTTCTCGTACGCTTTGTTAAGAGCGAAGACCGTCAAGGCCAATCCTGCCATCTTGCAATATTGTGCCTGACCTTCCAACTGTGATCCGATACGAAGGTAGGTTGCTACCTGCGACCTGACATCTCCTTTGTCATCCCAGAGAGGCGGGGGGGAAGGGGCGTCTCTCCTGCATGCCAGCATATGAAGCCTGAGCCGCTCCTTTGCGCTTGAGCAAATCAACTCCCCCGCCATGGCCTTGAGAGATGGAGCATGTTTTTGCCGTTTAGATATTGACTCGTCTCCTTTCGGCCTTGATCGTTTGCTCCCAGTTCCGCCAGACTTGGCGAGATTGGAGGTCGCTTGGTCCGTAATTCTTGAAGACCTCCGGAGTCCTGCGGTTTCGTTTTGCTCCAACTCGACCATGCGCTGTTTTCCGGCCGTGTCTTTTTCCACCCTTGGTGCTTTCCTTTGTGGACCGCACAAGGTAATGGTCCGGGGTGGACATGGTGTCATATGTTGTGTTGATCGGGGTGCTGAGAATCTGTCAGACACCACCTCGAAGTGTGTCTGAAACTCTCGTGCGACTTCGAACATCCCATCCTGATTACAAACGCTAGTTTTCGTTGGTGGGAAGAGCGTGTGGCCAAGTGGTAGTAGATTGATAGCCACGGCGAGTGAATTGGTTTTGTTGAGTACCGAATGGTATTGTCCCCCACGTGTGACGATAGCAGTGCCTGGCCCCGCTGCTATAAGCTTGAAATTGATGCCCGCTTCGCGAATTTCCGTCGGCCGCAAAATCAGGCTGAGATGACGTATCTTCTGTTCGCAAAGGTAGGTTCCATAGCGCTGCGCCACGTACTCTTCAAACTTTACCGAGTGGTCTAGATCGACAATCATCCATATCTTGATGCCTTTGATGGTGATATTGACAGACCAGAAGTGCCAATCCTCCTTGTGCCAGGCAGTACCCGTGTTGAGGACGCCCACATGCCAGTAATGGGATGTTACACCTTGGATTTGGAGCTCCTCCGAGGGGGTGCTACCGTCTAGTGCCCGGGATCGCATTTCTGGTAGCTTGTTGAGCTCGCCGGCGTCGAGCAGGCTGTCGAGCTGGGGTGGAGGGACGCCGTCTTTCGTAAGAGAAGGTCCGACATAGTAGGAGAGAGGTTCTTTCGGTGGATTGGTGCAAATGTCCTCGATGTACGCTTCCATTTCCTCCTGGGACGGAGGCTGAACCGTTGAAGGTGGAAACTGGGGTAGTTTGAACTCATGCGCATCCTTGGCAACGAATAGCCTGCAGGCCCCATTTCGGTGGCTGTACTGGACACTAAGGAGATCCCACTCAGAATCTGGCTTTCGAATTTTTCCTGCCAAATCAATGTCATCCAATCCTTTGACGCAGATCGTGCCGTCGAACTCGGGCAGCTGTATCTTTTGCAAGATGATTGTAGCAAGGTTCTGTCCCATTTCTGAAACATCCATGGCTGGCTTCCGCAGGCCTTCAGGGAGCGGGGTTCCAGGCGAGGCGAGAGCCGATTCTTTGCATGGCCGACTCTGAATTTCAGCTCCAGGCCGGTTATTGCCCTTGGACCGGTCGTCGTCTCCACGCTGGCCGTCGTCATGAAAGTTATTGCCGTTAACCATGTCGCACTCAGGCTGGTTTTCGTGCAAGTGGTTAACAACAACCACCCCAGGGACCGAATGTGCTCCGGGATTGCTGCCTGCGGACACGGCATCGGCGGCGTCGGGCATATCGACGTCGAGGCCGAGAGGCCTGGCTGCATGCTGAGCGGGACTGCTAGACGCCGACTGTGGTTCGGGATTGCTGCCTGCAGCGAAAGCATCGCCTGGCGGTGAATTAATCGGGAGGAAACCTCCAGGGGCGAGGTCGACCTCATGTGGTGCGGGTTTTGTTGGAGGTGCATCAGGCTGGCTTTCGCCAGGGGGGCTGCTGGAAGTGCTGGCGGAACTGGCATGGCTGCCGCTACTTTCTAATTGCTCGCTGCTGGGCGTTGATGACGCAACCGAGGGGGCCAAAGGGCCCAATGCAGGTGCCCCGAAGACTGCATCTAAAGTCGATAGTTAGCTCTTTGTTTGGCGGTTGCCTGCTTAATTTGGCTACTTACCAGTCCCAGTCGTATTCTGTTGGCGAAGCTCGAGTTTGGCCTGTAGTTCCTCTATCCGCTTGGCTAGCTGCTCGGCTTGCTGTTTGACCCGCAGATCGTTCTCGGCCCGGAGGTTCTCGATCTCTTTAGCGTGCCGTTCGGACAGCTGTCTCTCGATGTTCTCGGCACGCTGCCCAGCCTGCTCACTGGTCCCAGCTTTATTTTTCTGACTGCTTTGGCGCAGTGTTTCCTCGGCCTGCCGTCTGATCTCCTCAGCCTCCTTCTTAGCCTGCTGTCTGATCTCCTCAGCCTCCTTTTCAGCCTGCCGTCTGATCTCCTCAACCTGCTTCTCGGCCTGCTTTTCAGCCCGCTCTCTAAGGCTTCTGTTTTCTTCCTCCAGTTCCCGGATCTTGGTGTCGCGGTCGCGGGGGCGGGGGCGGCTTCCCAGTAGTTTGCTTCGAAACCATCGATGGATAGTATCGGGTCCTTTGGAAATGTATTCCTTGACTTCGGGAGGCGCGTCATCGAAGGGATCGCCGGCTGGGTCTGCCATTGCGTCGAGGCCCGCTCAAGCGAGCGAGTGATGCTTGAGTGGAGGCAAAAGATTCGCGCGACGTGGGGCAGCTAGCAGCTTTAAGCGTACGACTTACTTGCAAAATTGTGGCTAACGCGCTTGGTAATTGGTAGGGCTTCGGGGCCGCCGGGCAGCAATTATGCATAATTTGTGCAACTGGTGAACGCGCGACTTGTCTGGTCGTTTGGGAATGACAGTTTAATTGCTTGCTCTGGGGGTTACTCAAGAGCTAACTTAGGTTGACTGATGCCGAAGCCTCAGTCAAGAACTACCTGATACAGTAGGAAATCCTTCCTTATATTCCTGCCTGCTGTCGCTCCGCTACAGATCCATAGATCCTTGGTCCGTGACCAGTGTCACGTGACATCCCTCCGCGATCATTCTGTTCTGGCGGGTACCCACCCCTCCTTCCGGGAGCCTGCAGTCGGCCGTGACACCCTCGCACCTCAATGCTCCTCTGCACCATGGCTCCGTCCCTCTTGCACCATAGGCCCATGTACCGCAACATCTTTGTACTTCCCTCCACGACTTCCAGCATTCCCATTACCTCGCAGCATATTTTCCGACATGTTTATCCCTTTCAATCCTCTAGAGGGCGGACCAAATGCCTTATATATAATAGCATACTTGGCGAGGATAGGCGCAGTTGCTTTGTATTCGGCATGTCCTATTATCCAAAAAAAAAAAAAAAAAGTTGATCCGCGCGAACCGGGACTTGCAAGTCTCGTGTGATCCAAGCTGTATTTTTTTAGAGGGAAGATGCCTTGATGCAAGCCACGGGAAATGGAGGCCGGTGGAGACGGATTGCGCCTGGAGCCTGGAAGCAAATGCGTTGCAGGGGGTACAGAAGTGTGGGTTGCCGTTTGACTTGAGGCAAGTTTACCCGAGTGCTGAAACGATGCTGCTCAGGCTGAAGCGGCGGCAGCTCAGGGCTCGCACTCAACCCAGACTTGGGGGCAATTTTTTTCGGGGATGACTATATAGGTACGTGCCAACGTGACCAGCAAAGGCCGCCTCCGGAGACGTAGCAGACTCGTCTATCTAAAGAGATATGGCCCTGGTACCACGCGAGGCGAGCCGGGTCCTGGACCGGGCGGTGGTCGACGTCCTTGCACAGGCAGCGGCCGCCGCCCAGTTCGGCGCTCTCGCACGTCACGAGGTGCATGCGCGCCAGGCGCGCCCACTCCCTTACGTCGCGCCCCTGCGCCAGGTCGACGAGGTCGTACCGCCCTGCGCACGCGTGCCAGAGCTTGAGCTCCCAGACGTTGTGGCCCGCCGCCGCGGGCACGCCCTCCGCGGGCGGCGCGGGCCGGAAGGTCAGGGGCCGGCAGAGCCGCGAGAGCCAGCCGCGCAGCCGGCGCTGCCGCCAGGCCGGGTCGTTGAGCCACCTGCGCCGGAAGCAGGCGAGGTTCCGAGCAGCCCAGCGGTCTTTGCGGCTGGCCTGGGAGTGGGGAGTGGTCGGCAGGTGGCTCCGTGGCGGCGTGTCGACCACGTGAGGTCCCAGGAAGGTGGCGATGCTTGTGCCTGCCGTCCAGTGCTCGGAGCCGTGGCGGTTGGGCTCGTAGAGGCCCCCTGAGTGTATGGGCCGACGGATGGCCGTATCCTCGTTGATGAGGTGCTTGGCGAGAGTAGTCTGGCAGTATTCACATAACCCGGACTGGCTGATCATCTCAGCCATGGCCAGATAGCCGATCAGGTGGTTATCCGTCTCCGTTGCTTGGGGCTCGTTTGCCTCCTCGCGCATATCGATGCCCCAAACCGAGAGTTGGGGCAAGCCGTCCGGGACGGCTTGGCCACTGCCAGAGCCCAGCCTGTCACCCATCTTGGTTAAGGCGACAGGGATATTACCGAAGCCGTGCAAGCCGTGTATGCTGTCTTGACAGAACTGGTGATGCAGTCTGTCGATTGGGGGATTGTCGGTCACTGTCCCAGTCCGCAGTTGCTCCAACCCAACACAGAATTGTATATTTAGCTCTATACACTTTTATATAGCACGCAACGTCGGACCATCCATCGACCTCCCTCACTCTTTTGTTCCCCTAGCAGTAAAGCCGGACAATCCCGTAACTGCTACCCAAGCACTGGATTGTTCTTTGTGTGACGGACAAAGGGTGCAAGATAGGGTCTATTGTATGTTGAGCTAGATCTCTGAAAGAGAAAGGAGGACGGGCACAGGGCCTCGGCCCTGTGCCCTCCTTATATACAGTAATCCCTTCTCTTGTAGGCGCGGTACTCACTACCGCACCCCCGTCATTGCCGACGAGTGCTCGGCAAGCATCTACCCTGTGCGGCACCGGTGCCCGTGCGGATCGTCCGAACAAGGCCTGGAACAGTGTGCCGGCACTTGGTGATAGCCTCCTTTGTGACACTTTGGCCATATCCTGATAAGCGTACGCCTTTTCCCATTAATACGACATACAATAACTGTTATTCATCACGGCTGAATTCTCCCAAGGCAACGAGTGCTTCTATTTACTTCTGCCCTACTTTCGAGCAGGTCCGAAATGCTCCTCCCGCAGTCCAGTTCTCAACTCAGATCCGGCTCACTTCAACCTCAGATCTCACCAGCCGTTATCAGCGCCCCCGGCGGCAGAATGCCACGCCACTCTCTAGGCTCCAGCTTGAGTCTGATCTTTCTATCGCTGCCGCCTTCTTTGGTGGGGTGCCCTCATGTTTGCCCCAGGCACGCAGGATCTTTTACTGATTCGCATCGACTCTTTAAACAGTTGGCTGCATATCGTCCCTATACATTCCCGCCCCTTTTCCCTCCTTCCTTCTCTTCTCCCCTCTCTTCTCTTCTTCCCCAGCAACAGGGCAGCCATCGCCAACCAACTTCAGCCCTTCCAAGTCCAACCTGCTTATCATTTCACCACATACGCGCTCTTACCAGTTAAATGGTAACTTCTATATACGCAACAGGAGCCTTTACATCGCCACCAGCGCCAGCACCAGTACCAGCACCAACACCACTACTACCACCACCACAACCATCCCACGAACACAGCAAGACCATGTCGGCCGGCGCTGGAGACGGCCCGGGTGCCGCGGGCACACAGCTTGTCATGCGAGTGAGTCCTTTCCTCACCGGCCTGTCACTGTACCCCCGTGCTTGTCCTTGCCCGTTTGGGCTACATCCGATTCGAATCTGACTTTCTTTCCGCGTCTCGAAGACAACAAAGTCATACTAGAAACAGCTCGCATACTACGACAAAGTTATCAAAAGGCAGGCGGCTACCATCGAGGAGCTGTCGGATGGGGTCAAGGCCTTGGAGGCCACAGTGAAGGAGCAGTCGGCCCAACAAGGAGCAATCAACTGTCATCAATGAGCAGTCAACCACCATCAATAAGCAGTCGACCACCATTAATAAGCAGTCAACCATCATCAATGAGCAGTCGGCTAAGATTGAGGCCCTGGAGGCCACAGTTGCGAAGCTGGCACAATGGACCGAGGCTCAGGAGGCGCGGCAGTAGATGCCAAGGAGCAGATTGAGGGTTGACTGGCGGATTGGGAAGGCGATAGCAGGAGTCTTTTGTCTTCGCATTTCTGTACAACTTTCCCGTCTTCGCCTTTTCTTTATTTTTGGAGCACGAGGCCAGAGGGACGCAGGCAGGCATCACAGCACCGCCGCTAGTACGTCTAAAATTTTAAGATACCCAGAGAACGAACTACTGAATGAATTTCATCCTTGTGTGGCCTTTCGTTCTTCTCATTCTCCCAAGCCACCATCTACGTAGGTGACACCTCCTCGCTATCCTTTCCAGCCGCCCCCTTGGCCTGGCGGAAGCCCAGCGGGCGTACGACCGACGACAGGGACAGCAGCATCAGCACGTCCAGGACCTCCCTCCCGCCGACCTCGAGCTCGTAGTCCTCCACGTTGTACACGCGCAGCTGGCCCTCCATGCGCGTGCACCCGACGTCGCCAACGCGGTCGAACCTGGCCACCACGGGCGGTGCGGGCCCGCCGGCGCCAGCGGCGCGCTCGTCCATCGAGACGAGCTTGAAGGCGCTGTGGTTGCTGATGGGCCTCGGGGCGCTAATGGCACTGGCGGCAGGAGGGTCAGCATCCTCGGCCTCGTCGACGGCAGGAACAACGTCATCGCCGCCAGGACTCGGGCATAGGTCGTCATCGACCATGCCGAGCGGGCTCGTCGCGCGCCATCGGAGCCGCCGCTTGGACTGCGGCAGATCGATGGTGCCGATGCGGGACACGGTGTGCGGCGGAAAGTACGCCGTCGCGGTGCCCATAGGCTCGCAGAGCCAGACCCGCCAGGCCGTGTCCGAGGCGCTCAAGACGGCAGCTGGGGAGGGCTCCTGTGTGCCAAACGAGGTGCCCAGCGCGGTCGGGTCATGTCAGCAGAAGAAAAGGAGGAGGCAGGTAGCGGAACAAGAAAGGGAGGCACATACACCGCCGTGGGCGAACCTAGCTGTGCCGCCGGCGTGGCGGCCGGCTGTAAAGAGCTGTGCCACCTCGTCAAAGTCGTAGACGCGCACGCTGCGGCGCACGCTGCCGACGGCAACGCTCCTCCGGCGGGCCCTGCCGCGGCCGAACTCGGTCAGCAGCGTGTAGGCGAGCTCGTGGGTGGCGGCGTCGACGACGGAGAAGCGCGTCGCGGCGGTGGCCCCCGGCGCAGCTGCGGCGGCGTTGCGGCCGGGCCCCGCCG